CAGGGAGCCCGATGCGGGACTCGATCCAGGGACTCCAGGATCATGACCTGAGCTGAAGGCAGTCGCTTAACCAACTGAGCCACCCAGGCGCCCTCATTTGTCTATTTTCACTTACTATATTTTCAATATGCAGATGATCAGCATTTTTATGAGGTCAGACCATTGACCTTTATCTTTTGTGACCTCTGTTACATTTCTTCCTTTTTTTTTTAAAGTTAAAAATTCCTTAATTTTTTATTCCTGGTACCGCTACCACAATTTACGGGGCTGTATGCCTGATGTAATGAAAAGAAAAAAGACAGAGACAAAGCTGTATGTGATGAAGACCTCAGGAATGTACATCTAATTGACACTACATTGCATTAATCAATAGCTGCACTTTTTGTAAACTGTGGCTATGACAGTCCTGGACAAGCGGGCTTTCTTATTTAAGCTGCAGTCACTTTTCTGACTGTGGATCGTCGTTCCTTCTGTGGCAGATTTTTACAGTTCCTCTAATGCATTTGGGACGACTGTCTCAAAGTAACCTGCAGCTTTCCTGACAACTCCTTACTCTCTCTCCTGCTAGGAACTGTAGCCCTTTTCTTCTGAAATTTTTTTAGAACCTTCTGCTACCACATCCACCACTTCCACCACCAGATCCATAACCACCACCATAGGGACTGCCCGAGCTTCTTCCACCAAAACTGTCCCCCTTCAGGGGTCCATAACTTGATTGCTTTTGTGCACTATAATTTCCAAAATCATTGTGGTTCCCATCACCACCATAGTTACCTCCAAAATTTCCTCCTTCACTGTAACCATCCTGTCCTCCACCACTGCCACCATATCCACCTCCTCGGTGTCCATATCCTGGTCCACCACCACCATCACCTCCTCTACTACTATGACCAGGACCACCACCGTCGATGCCACCAACACCTCCAAATCCAGTATATCTACCATCACCTCCTGCATAACTACCTCTCCTGCCCCTTCCACCACCGTAGCCACCTCTTGCATCAAAGTTTCCACCACAGCCCATAAAGTTGCCAGATCCACCTACCTCCACGATGTCTTGGGATCCAGCAGACATCATTTCTTGTTTGGGAAGGGCCTTTTTCACTTCACAGTTATGCCCATCAGTAGTGTTTCTGAACAACAATTTTATCAACTCTCTCATGATCATCAAAAGTTATAAAAGCAAATCCCACTCTGCCTGTCTTCCATAATTTCTATGGTTTCAGTCTTGCCATACATGTCAAAATAGTCTCTCAAATTACATTCTTCTGTATCTCCTTTAATGCCACCAATGAAAATTTTCTTCACTGTGAGATGGGCACCAGGCTTTACAGAATCCTCTCTAGAAACAGCTCTCTTTGATTCCAGCACAGGCCCATCAACCTTGTGTGGTCAAGCACACGTTGCTGCATCCACCTCTTCAATACAAGTATAAGTCACAAGAGCAAAACCCCTGGAACATTTTGTTTGGGGGGTCTCTCATCACCACACAATCTGTAAGTGTGCCCCATTTTTCAGAATGTTCTCTTAAACTGTCATCCATAGTTTCAAAGCTCAAATCACCAAAAAAAAAAAGTTTTCTCAACTGCTCTGGTTCCTTTGGATCTTGGCCCTCCTTCCCTAGCAGCAGTGGCGATGGCGATGGGGGAGGGTTGGGTCCGGGGTAAACTGGGCAGCAGTTTTACCTCTGTTTTGAGACCACAGTGCCCTCTTCCAACTTGAGTTCAATATCTGTGCTACGTTTATTCTTAAAATACTTTTTCCTGTGTAAAGCTCAGGTCAATATTCATCTGGTAATTATAGATCTTTATCTAAACTTTATATTATTTGCTATATCCCTAATACCTGGAGTACTGCCTAGAACACTTAGTACTGAGAAAATACTTGTGCTTTATTGGATTAATTTTTAATCTTTTGCAAACATACAAAAACAGTTATCTAATCCATTTGTATGTCCTTTGAGATGTGATATAAGGAGAGGAGAGAGGAGTTTTTCCCTCCAAATCTAGTTGATTTTTTTTTTTTCCTCTACTACTTTCTGAATAATCTTTTTTCTTGTCTATGTGTGATGCCTCCTCATAGCAAGGTCTGCTGGAAAGAGGAGACTCTGAAGATAGAGAGACCAGGATTTAAATCTTAGCCTTGTCGTTCACAGGGCATGTGAATTTAGGCAATTACTTGACCTGTTTTCAGTTTTTCTTCTCTTCAGGGGATAATAAATGCCTGCTCAACAGAGCTATTTTAGGATTAAAGATAATATGTAAAGTTCTTAGTATAATACTGATAAAAAGTAAACAGCAAACAGTAGTTTTTACTGTTGTTTATTAAGCTTTGTATATATATATATTTATTAGCACTATTTCTGAGTTGTTTGTCCTATTTTGTTGATTCTTTGGGTATTGGCAGTATTGTTTTTTAAAAAATAGTTTCTAATATATTTAGTACAGGTAGGACAAGTCCTTCAACATCACTTATAACTTTTACTCCATCTTTTCAAAGCTTTGTATTTTAAAAAGAGGTTATTGCCTGTTTCTTATTTCTGGTGAATTTTAGAATGATTGTTCATAGGAAAAGGTTTTTGTGATTTTGGTTAAAATGTCACTGAACCCCAACATTAATTTGGAAAAGTTGATGTCTTTATACTCATTCAGTCCCTTGACTCTCATTTTATTGAAATTTCTTTTGTATCCTGTTAAAGTTGTTAGTTTTTTCTTACAGGTCTAATGTTGCCTATTAAAATTATTCCTAAGTACATTATAGTTTTAATGTTTATTTTAAATGGAATCTCATTTTAAGATACTATAGCAGAAATACACGAAAACTTAATTTTTATGTATTGCACATAATCACATAGTTATCTTATTAATTCTAATTATTTTTGAACCGATTATTCTAATTATTTTTGAATTGATTATTTTGGAGTTTCTAGCCTACCAAGCCACACATAAATGATGATGATTTTTATCTTCATATCCAAAACGAGGATATAATTTTTATCTTGCATATGTGTATGTATTAATAGTGATGATTGTCATCATTATTATTTTTATATCTGATGTTTATGGAATTGTTTCAGTGATATCACTGTAAGAATATTGATTATTGGCCTAAATATATATTCTTAAGAATGTATTCCTGTCGGGCGCCTGGGTGGCTCAGTCGTTAAGCGTCTGCATTCAGCTCAGGTCATGATCCCAGGGTCCTGGGATCGAGGCCCACATCGGGCTCCCTGCTTGGCGGGAAGCCTGCTTCTCCCTCTCCCACTCCCCCTGCTTGTGTTCCCTCTCTCGCTGTGTCTCCCTCTGTCAAATAAATAAATCTTTAAAAAAAAAAAAAAAAAAAGAACGTATTCCTATCTCTTTCAATGTGTAACTATAGAATAAATGGTTCTGGGAGCTTATATTCTATATTTTGGGTTCACTTGAAATATTTTTTTGTTTTGTTTTGCAGGATGTTCAGCTAAAAGTAAAAACCTACTTGCTTGGAACAGATTTGTCTATATTTAAATATGATGATTTCATCTTTGTTTTGGATATAATCAGCAGGTACTGTGTGAGATCTTGTTTTATTCTTTAGCTTGAGTCATTCAATGATGATAATCAAAGAAATCATGAATCAGTGAGTTATATATAACTTTTTCATGGAAATGAAGACAATTGAACATTCATAATCTAATTTCTGCTGGGTGTGTGTGAGTGTGTTTAAATATTTCTGCCCTTTGGATGTCTGTAAGCCATATTGAATTTGTGAACGTTAGAATTTCTTCAAACATCCATTTTTATGGTGTGTTATCTTTGAAGAAAGATGACCTGGACTACTTTTGTTCTGTAATAAGAATGTTGCTGAAATTTGTATAAATCTTTTTATCCAACTAGGTTAATGCAAGTTGGAGAAGAATTTTGTGGTAGCAAATCTGAAGTTTTGCAAGAGTCCATTAGAAAACAGAGTGTCAACTATTTTAAGAACTACCATAGGTAAGAACTGTAATAAAATATGAATAGACTTATTTAGGTAATGAGAATACTTTGTCTAATGCTTAAACCTTATAGCATTAATTGGTTTAAAACAATTACTTTTTTTTTTTTTTTTTAAAGATTTTGTTTATTTGACAGAGAGAGAGTGAGAGAGCACAGCAGGGGGAGCAGCAGAGAGAGAGGGAGAAGCAGGCTCCCTGCTGGGCAGGGAGTCCCATTGGGGACTCAATCCCAGAACCCTGGGATTATGACCTGAGCTGAAGGCAGTCACTTAACCAACTGAGCTACCCAGGAGCCCCTAAAACAATTACTTTTGAATTTGAAAGAATTCCTTTGTAGTTCTTTTTGCGATGGTTAAGGACTTTTTTTTGCCAAAAATATCATAAAATATTCTCATTCCTTATTTATTGTAAATTTTGATAGATTGTCCTGAGAGGCTTAAAATGTTGAACTAAATATTGAACCAATTTCTTTATGGGTGAAAGATGATTATTCTATTGGAGTTCACCGAAAGAATTTGGCCACTATCCTGTATCTGCATATGTGGTGTGAGCTAGTGAGGGAGTTAGATCACTAGAGGCAGCACTCAGGGAGGGGTTACTTGAAAGCATCTACCTTTTAAGAGTAAGAAGGTTCTAAAGAAGAAGACATGATATTCAGAATCTAGCTACAAAGTCAAAATTATGTATTACGTTGCAAAACAGTCACTACTGACTTTAGAAAGCGTGATTAGGAATGGTTTTGGGAATGGAGGAAGATGGGAAAGAGTGTTTAATTAGCAATGTGATTGTATGCTTAAAGCAGCATTAAATTGAGAGAGCTATTTATTAGACCTTTCCTGATATAAGGTGGAGACTGTACTGTATTCCTTATATATATTTTATCAGTTGAATTGTTGTATCTTACTTTTAGTCTACATTTTTATTTTTTAGAATTATGTTTTGATTTTATTGTTATTTGGTACCAGAGAAAGTATGGATTTTATTTTATTTATTTATTTTTATTTATTATTATTTTTATTTTTTAAACATTTTATTTTATTTTATTTATTTATTTTTAAAGATTTTATTTATTTATTTGACAGAGAGAGACACAGCGAGAGAGGGAACACAAGCAGGGGGAGTGTGAGAGGGATGAGCAGGCTTCCCACTGAGCAGGGAGCCCGATGCTGGGCTCGATCCCAGGACCCTGGGATCATGACCCAAGCTGAAGGCAGACGCTTAATGACTGAGCCACCCAGGCACCCTGATTTTTTTTTATTTTATTGTTTTTTTTTCCTGTCTCAATGATTTTTATTTTTTTTATGTATGTATGTATGTATGTATGTTTAATTCTGCTTGCTCAGAGTCAATACCTGGTCAGAGTGATAGGTGCCATGTCAGAAGAGAGATTATTGGACATCAAACCAATGATTAATTAATTATTAAATATATTTAAGTACAAGTGTTCTTTGTTATTGTAAACTATTAAATATGTTTTGAAAGAGATTTAAATTTGATCCTGTACCAAAGCAGAGCCTTTGGGCTTTGTAGTTGAATTGAAAAGAATGTTTAGAAGATTTAAAAAAAAAATTTTTTTATTGATTAAACCTCAGGAAAACAGTAGTAAGGAGAGAGCATGAAGCCCTAACACTGCCTTTATTTGTATATATATTTTTTCCTGTTAAAATTTAAGCTCTGCTGAAAAGATAGCCTGGCTTGTACACATTGCTGTACAAAAGGAGGAGTTTTTAAATCATAAATGGGAAAGGATAAGGAACTATGAAGGAGCCAGAAGCCTCACTTACCTGTCAGAATGAAAGCATGACAGATGTCCATTTCCCAAAGATTACTTTTAGTCAGTAAGACAACTGGGAGACCTTTTGTGTTCCTAGTGACTGCACAACATGTGTGATGAAAAAAACAACCCTGATTTATTTAATGGTCTCCATTCTGCATTCTACTTTACTTATTGTCATAAGGTATCTGTCATTATGGCAGCCAGGTCTGGGCATTTCTAGACTATGACCATGATGGAGATTCCTCACCAAAGTTTACCTTGATGAAATTAGAGACTAGAAATGAATTATTAACTGTTTCCAAAACACTCATCATTTTAATGGACTTCTCTTAGAAATATATGTGAAATTTGTTTCCCATTGAAAAGGCTGTACGGTACTTTTAGAAGGAGAGCTGTACCGGGAGATAGTAGAGTTGGGTTCTTATTCCACTTTTGGTGCTTGCCAGCTCTCTGACACTGAACAAATCATTTAACTCTGGCTGATGGTTCTATCAACTGCAAAATGGGGTGGCTAGATGAAAAAGTCTCCATAAGTGTTGCCTCTAGATCTTGCCCTTTTTTTCTTGCTGTGTTGTATATGAGAATATTGGAATAGGTTAAAAAGTAAAGATTTAACTTTTCTAAAAGTATTCTTCTCTATCCCCAGCTTATATACTGGCTATGGTCACTATCTGTCCAACAGCTGCCATTTGGAAAATTATAATAAAAATCATTTGGTAAAGTTAATACCAACCATTAATGTGTTCTGAAGTAAATCTTTTTCTTTATAAGCAAGATAAACTTAACAGGTGGTTTAGAAATGATGCCAATGTACATAATACTGAATTGACGAAAGTCATTACATTAGCTAGTGATGAATCTAAATCTGTTAAATTCCAATTTAATATCTTCTTCACCAGATCATACTACATAAATATTTAAAAGCAGTATGAAACATGGTGAACTATAGATCAAGTGGGTTTTAGTTTTGTAATAAAAGTGTTAAAATATGCTTACAATTGTTTCATGGTCCTCTACTGCCAAATAGAGCTCCTGAGAATCAAGAAATTCTTAGACCAAATTATTCTGACTTAGAGTCTGCTTAGGCTATTGGTTTAGAGATGTCGGCATAATAAGGTGAAAATAGAAGCATTTTACCTTTGGGTGGAACATCTATTTATATAAAGTATATTCATGTTGCTTGTGGTAGTTGTATAAAAGTCTGTATGCCATTATCTTTTTCCAGGGCAAAATTACATTAGACTGAGGGAACACAGTCTCTATCAATGTGAATTCTTATCTTACAAAAATATAGGTTTTATTCCCCCAAATTCCTTTATGTTCAGTGCTAAGTTTGTATACATCCAACACTGTCATTCTTCTGCCAGATGTTACAGAAGTCCCAGAAGCACAAATTATCTGATTTAAACAGTAATGACATAGAAATTATGTAGTGTAATTGCCAGAACATTCTATTTAACAAGTGCACTTTAATTTGTAATTACTCTAATGATCAAATCTTATAAAATATTTTCAAGGATCCTGAAGGTACAGCGACTGGTGTTAGAAGAGGGGAGAGGTCACCTATCCTTTTAGGGAGAAAAACTTTCCCATTGCCTGAGTAAGAAAAGTTTATTTTTTTAAGTATCTTCAAAATGTGTGTTTCTAGGATCAAGTTTATTATCCATATACTTCTCTTTGTTTTCTGCCTGGACCAAGTGATTTAATCTTTTTTGTTTTTTTGAGTACTGGGCTTTATATCTTGTAGAACTCACTTGCTTTTTCTCCCTCCATATATTCTCTGCCAAATAAGCGCTTTTGGTTAAGGTTTCACAGAGGGCAGTAAATAAGTGATCAATAGTTTTAGTTTTTTTATGATAGATCTCAGATTTTTTTTTTAAGGAAACAATCTTAACAAATATAAAGGTTTAAATTTATAAGTGTCCAACTTACATTTTAACTACTATTGTTGTATAACAAACTATCCTGAAACTTAAGGGTTTAAAACCACCATCATTTTATCATTATTTCATGTAATCTGTGAGTCGGGAATTTACGAAGAGATGAACTGAATGAATCTTCTGCTCCTTAGAGGATTGGCTGAGGTGACTGAGTAGTACTCAGCTGATGGTAGGGTTTGTCTAGAGAATCCAGGATGGCTTTGCTCGCACCTTGGTGGAGATGGCTAGAAGGATGTACACAGTTGAGTTTGTTAGCCATAGTGCCTGCATGTGGCCTTTCCACTATGATGATCTCAGGGTGGTGGGACTTCCCTTATATGGCACCTGGCTTCCCACAGCACTAGTTTTCCAAAAGACCCAGGCAGAAGCTTCAAGGCTTTTTCTGATGTAGGCGTAGAAGTCATGCAGTCCTTCCACCATATTCCATTGAATACAAACATGTCATGAGGCTACCCAGATTTAAGAGGAGGGAAATTTGATGGGGGAGTGGTAAGGTCATGTTGTATGAGAGAATGTGTGTGGGATAGGAGGTAATTGTTGCAACTCTCTTTGCTATAGTCCTTGGGAAAATAGGAGAAATATTTTTAGAAAACAAATGTTCTTGGACTTGGTGATAATGGTACCAGTAAATTATCTTTAATATTTAAAATACTGTAAATTAGATTATTTAAAAGTAAAAACATTTACATTTCTAAACTATACAATAGGGCTTGAATTTTGGAGTTAAAATGAGAACAAAGTCTTCATGGTATCTATCTGATGTCAGACTAACTCCCTCTGCCATAGTATATAATAATAGTGGGTAGACCACTCTTAAACTCCTCTTAATTTATACTGTTGTTATTGATTTCCAGTTTTCTTCCTGCTGATAAAATGTTTGGGGCAGCGTGGTGTTATCAGTGGACTTGGATTCCTACCTCTGTACTACTTACTAGCTTTACCACCATAATTTGGTTTTCTAATTTCTCTGAGCATCAAGTTCCTTCTCTTTAAATGTGGCCGGCTTGTAGTGGAATCTTTACCTTCCTTGAAGTGTTTGTTTTTATCATTTGTTTTTGGAACCTGCCTTTTATTGCATCAAGTCTTTTATCAGGTTAGTTAAAAGATCTGGATTTCACACAGTTCCAATTCGTAGATTTTTTTTTTCCCTTTAATTAGAAGGTCAGCATATTTGAGATGCCTCTTAGATTGGTTATTGTCTTCTTTACTATATTTGCCCTTTAAAATCTTTTAAATTTTATTTGAATTGTACCTATTCTTTTGTACTCCACAGGAGATTCC